GACCAGAACCAGGACCAGCATCAGCAGAAGAAAAGAAGGAAGAGGAGGAGAAGGAGGAGGAGGAGGAGGAGGAGGATTTGGTAGGTCTGTGAATACAGTTCAATTCTGTGTGACTCTGGTCCTCAGTTTTCCCTATTCCACAGCAAGCTGTTTAATCCAGATGACTGCCAACTCTTGCCCTGGAATGACTGCCCGTCCCATACTCCTGAGTTCAAACCAACCCTTGGACCTTAAGGTTGCCATCTTCTGTGCTGAGGGAAATGACAGGGATTCCTAGACTCTACTGAAATGAGAGTTTGGAAGGCAACGGGGGAAAGAACACAAAGCATATGCCAGAAGAACTGTGACCTCTTCAGCTTTTGTTGGTGGGGTCACTTACTATGGCTTGATGTTCCCTGGTTTCCTATTACAGTTTTCAGTACTACTGGAGTTGCTTTGGCTCTTACAACCAAAGGGTCATTCTAACAGAAGGAGTCAAAGAAGAGAACTAAATGGAAAGCAGAAACTGCAAGAAGTCACCTTCTTTTCCAAGATGCATGTTCCTTAATACACAAATAGTTCCCCCAGAAGACCACATTAGCAAACTGGAAGAAAGGGTTAAGAGGTTTGGCGGCTCTGTGCTGGAATCAGCTAGTCTCCCTTATTCACTAGTACAAGCTGGTACTGTGCAAGGTACTTTCTGCATGTTTCTTATCGCTGAATTATCTTGCAATCCTCATGTCCATTTTTCCAAAGAAGGAAAACAAGGGATAGAGAGATGTTAACATAAAAACTTCTTAAAATCCATTCCCCCCACACACACCTTGTCCTTGAACTCAGGGCCTATGCACGATTCCTGAGGCTCCTTCCTTCCTTCCTTCCTTCCTTCCTTCCTTCCTTCCTTCCCTCCCTCCCTCTCTACCCACCCTCTTTCTTTTTTTGGTTGTTGTTTGTTTTTCTTTTCAAAGGTAGTGCTCTACCACTTGAGCCACTCTCTCTCTTCTAGCTATTTTGCTAGTTAACTAGAGATAAGTGTCTCAGGAACGTTCTTGCTCAAACTGGCTTTGAACCAGGATACTCAGATTTAAGCCTCCCGAGTAGCTAGGATTTAAAGGCTTGAACCACTGGTGTTTGGCTCAACTAGTAGTCTTTTTGAGGGTTTGAGTGAGAAGTAAGAAGAAGGCTCTGGAACTGAGGAGTGGGAGAAAGAAGGAGCACACTTAATCCATTCTAACATTTAGAACAAAAGAGAAAAGGCTGGTATCTGAGGTGCTGGATAGCATTCAGCTAAATCCCTTTCTCCTCCTGAGCTGGAATTTGGGAGTAGGGACCTGGGAGGGAGGAGGAGGAAAGCATTTGTGGGGTCCAGGCTGTACTTTTCTAACAGGTCAGGAGAAACTTTAACAAGATTAACTGCCGCTCAGAGCCTCTGCTCCATGGAGCAAATTGAGTCTATTGTTTTCTTTCTTTTTCTTACAGAATGGAGGGATATGGGGGCACAGTTGGGGATGACAGGCAGGGGTCTGGCTCCTGCCTGGTGTGGTACAAAAGCAAGGGGATGTGTCAGACCCTCTCACCCCACATGAAAGGGGGCCCACATGGCTTTGCAGGAAAATGCTGGGGGCAGTGGCTGGGTGGCCGGTCTGTGTGGGGTAAGAGGTAATGGTGTTTTTCAGACTTGTTATCACAGCCATCTAGGGGGCAAGGACCGGAAGTTGGGATACCAGGGTTAAATCCTAGTTCCTGCTACCACTGAATAGCTGTACATCCAGTACAGCTGTCTGTGTCTCTCCCTGTTGACCCAAAAGGACTCTTATCAGTTAGCCTTAGGATTGACTGGTGGATGGATTGATTGATTCATTGGTGGGCTCTCTTGACAATCCTGCACACAGGCACTTTCCAACTTGACTCTGACTACATAAGCCAGTCTGTATGTGTATATTCTCCTTCTTGTTCAAATATTTAAAAAAGGGGGGGGACATGTTTTCTGCGCTTGGAAATACACGCTGCTCTTTCTTCCTCCTGCTCTGAGATCCAATCTGGAGTCTGAACCAGAGTGGCAATAGCATCCTAAACTGGCCAATCTGAGAGCAAACCTGCCTCACCAGGGGCAGCAAAGACCTGTCTCTGGACAGACCCCCGTGAACAGTGCCCTAAAACTAGACCTTTACTATGAAGCCCGACTGAATCCTGCAGCCGAATGGAATGATGTAAGGCAAGCCTGGCCTGACAGCCAGGCAGCAGCTGGGCCTGAAATAGCAGTGTGGTCCCTGCTGAGCAGTGATGGGGGCTCTGGAGATAGGTGACCTGGGTTTCCGGCAAAATTGGTGACACCCAGCCAGAGCAAGACAGCAGAGAGAGAGAGAGAAAGGGGGGGTGGAGGGGTCAGACAGCCAACTGGGCACCTGAGGTCGCAGTCAGTGGATGCGATGCGCCTTGGCATCCACCCCAGTCCTTGGCCTCTCCCAGCCTGAACTGACACAGAGGAGAAAGCTGAGGGGGGAAAAAAAAGTACTTCTGTAAGGAACCTCTGTTTGTTTGCTTTTGAATTCAAGGAGAAAGAAACAGGTTCTTTTTTCTTGCAGCAGTCTGTACAGCGTGGATACTGCAGAATAGGTTTTTGCTGGCTCTGAGCCAGGTGTTTACACACCACCAAATCTGGCTGGGGTTCAACGAGGGGAGGGAAAAAAATCCACCAGAATCCTCAGGAGAAAAGCTCTGGCCTTTCTGGTACTACAGGACAGCCCTGCCTTCCCTCTCCCCACAACTCTACCCCTCCACGCCCCCCCCCATACACCCTCCCTCCCCAGCTCTGTTTTGGAGAGGAATGTTATTTCCACACATAAAATGGACCAGGCATTTTATACAAGCAATAATAACCAAACATTCCCTCCTTCCCATCCAATTAAAGTATTTTACTGCAACAACCTTTGTGTGAGAATGAGTTTGTATAAAGAGAATGATGTGTAGAGAGACCTCCCGTCTGAGTTAAATACTTATCAAGTAGTCTCCCATGCCATCTCGGATGACAGGTCATGTGGCTCTCCACTACCCTTCCCTGAGTACCTGCAGCTCCCCTTCAGAAGGAGGAGCCCTTCTGAATCATTGCTCCTCCGACAGGTAAAGACTAGGTAAGGCCGGAATTTACTCATTAAACACACACGCAGGCGCGCGCCCAAGCACGCGCGCGCACGCGTACACACACACACACACACACACACACACACACTTTCAATCAGCAGACTGTGCGTTTTCATGTTTGGAAAGAGCATCAGCCTTGAATTATCACCACCACCATCATTATTATTTTGAATAACACCTCTGCTTCTGTCTACCCTCTTCTGGCAGACAAGGACTCCATGTGAATGAACTCCGTCTCCCTCGTTTCCCTCTCCTTTCCCCGGGAGAGGAAAAAAAAATAAGGAAAAATAACAAGCGATGACGTCAGTTTTGTGTGTGTATGCTGTGTGCATGTGCGAGTGTGCGCGTGCGAGAGGGAGATGGAGAGGGAAAAATACACATTCTCCCCCTCTCTCTCTTTCCTCCCCCGCCAACACACACTTTGGTAGAAGGGAAGAGGGGGCTTTGGCCAGCATCGACTTGGGTACAGAAGCAGAATTTGGGTCCCCCTGAAGTGGCAGTTCATGTCAACAAGAGAGTCAGCCCAGTGTTAGACAAAGTCCAAGCCCAGGAAAGACAGGACCCCGCACACAGTCGCGGGAGAACAGCTCTCGCATCTTTCCCTTCTAAGACAGCGTGCCCGGGGGGGTGGGAATCGCCCATCGGCTCCGCGCGCTGGGCTTCCTGGCTGCGAAGGGGAACCCTAGCTCTCACTCCCAGACATCCCCAGACCAGGGGCAGGAAGGGAATCTCCCGGACAAGAAGAGGCAAAACTTTCCTTCTCTCCTCTGGCGCCTCCATTCAGCACCCCCTCCCTCCAGTTTTATTAAAAGCTTTTGCACAGATTCATTTAGAAGGAGGTGCCGGGGGAGAGAGGGAGTGCGGGTGGATGTCGAAGCATTTCTAAGATTTTCACCTTTGGCAGGGTCCCGTTTCACTAGGAGATGGCAACCGCGTAGGGAAGAGAGACAGAGCGACGGACAGACCGCGACAGAGAATAGAGAGAGAGGATGAGGAGGGTGAGGAAGAACTCAAATACATTCAGCTCTCATTAAAAAAAAAATCTACATGTATACATACAGGTCCCAAGTGAGAAAAGCACCCCGTGTCCTAGAGGAGTCTAGGGGAAGGGTGGCGGGGTATGAGTCGGGGAGGTCTCGCCCCAATTCTGAACAAGCATCAGCGGGTATGGGGGTGGCAGCTTGCGCGCGCGCCAGTGTGCGCTTGTGTGTGTGTGCGCGCGCGCGCGCGAGCGTGTGTGTGTGTGCAGGGGTGCGTGTGTGCACGCGTGTGTGTCTCGGGAAAGGGGGGAGGGGTCCCAGAGGCAGACTTCAAGCAGAAAACAACTTTAAGGCACTTCGGGGACTTCTAACTCTTAGCATTCCCAACCATCTCGTCCCCGCGGGCTTTCCGAGTAACGGGGAGGTGACTCGCATCAAAAAGTGAAGGCAAATGCACGCTCCCGCACCCCACCTTTCGCGGGCAATCCAGCGGGGGTGGTCCTCCCCTTCCTTCCTCCACCTCCTCCGACCCGCTCCCTCCCCAAAAGCGAAGCCGAATGGGTCTGGCCGCCCCGAGGGCAACGCTTCCATGCCCCGGACACGGTGGTGGGGACACCAACTCCCCCCCCCACCCCGACCCTCCCCGTCGCCTTGGCCGAGCGCTACGTCCCGCGCGCGCGCGCGCCCATTCGACAGATGGGGTAAACTGAGTCCCGGGGCCCTAAGCTCCAGCCGGCGCGTACCCCGGGAGTGGCTCCCTCCGGCGGACAGAGTCGCCGGGCCTCCCCTTCGCGAGCCCCCCACGCGCACCGCGCTCCGGAAAAGGTGGGGTGGGAGGTGGGTGGGTGGGGATGAGCGGACCCGGGTGTGTGTTTGGGGAGGTGGGGGTGCGTCGCCTACCTGCGATGACGGCCGGGGAGCGCTGTCCGCCCTCCGCGCGCAGCCACACTTGCAGCGTGAAGGCGTCCCGGGGCAGCTCCAGCTCGGCCCGGAGGCGCAGCTGCTCGCCTCGCCCGCTGAAATAGAGAGCCCGGCTCGGCGGGCTCGG